CTTGTCCTATAAACACACCGTGCACTTTAATACCGTCACTGTGTACCCGGGTTGCTCTGAAGCCAAGCTTGTTGGCTCTCGGACCGAAACGTTTGTCATTGTAGTTGCTTTGAGTTTCTATGGTAATTGTTCACTTATTCCTTCGTAACTAGTACTGTTATCCAATGCCGACTTTGTTGTTCATTTTCTCCCGGTGGGAACGCGTCATACGATCTTCCAAGCGAATTTTGTCGAACTTCATCGCCTCAGCCGCGAAATAACGCAAAGCATTCCAGGGAAAGAGTGAGTAGCGAATGTTCCGGTGACACTCCACACGAAGTTTGTGCTTTTGCAAAAATAGAACTTACAGTGCTCATGTGGATCAATCATTAAGTCACAATCAGTTTTTGGACCTCAGCACTGCGGTTTAAAGCACAAATTGTATCTATCTTGTACCTTCAGCTAGCGGGTGGCAGCGACGCACGGTAACTTTATCTCGGGGAACGCTGGGTCCAGGAGCCACTTTGCCTGCATTTGTGAGTGTTGCGGCACAAAAACGCGTTTTCTAAAGTTCAACCAGCGAACTCAAACGGTCTACCTGAAACCCACGCAAACAAATCAATCAGACAGTCGCCGATCCCCTAAGGAATCTATGGATGGTCATTTCATCCTCTCGGTACTTGCCAGCTGTGAGGCTAGTCGAAGGGCAGGTCCACGTTAAGCCCGGTTACTGACCCGACTAGCAACTGGTTGTGGTATAGAGCACCTCATTTTCCATCACTATGCAAGCTTCTATGGAGGTCAGGGTTGGCCCTCGATCCAGTTCCTGCCATACGCGTTGCTCATAGACTTACTCTTAACAGAGCTGTGGACGGGCGCCATCACCGTTTCGTTAGAACAAAGTCACGGTTGCAGTTCTTTATCGTATCCATGAGGTGTGTACTATTGGCGAGCCCCGGAAGAACATCAAACATTCAAGAATGGAGCAGCACAATTACAAACACAAACTGGTTGGCGGCATCCGGTTTCGGATTTGCCTGTCACTGTGGCCAACCACATGACGCCTGCGCCTACGGAGGGACCATGGGTGGCTTGCGCTGCACCATCCACAGATCCAACCACACACCCCATATCCAGTGTAAACCCGAAGGAATAAGACCGGGAGGCATGTGGATAGGAACCAAGTTTCATCAACGGAGCCGGCCCACACTCATTCACACGCAAACACAAGCACGCTGTATTTGGGGAATCAATCGCACACAAGGTGGTGGCTGGATCGTAGTCCGCTCCACACTGAGTGCATGGAACCACTCTTCGAGCCTAGCACGACCGTAAGGATCGTGCACCCCGTCCCCTCCAGCAACGACCAACTGTCTCTTAGAGCCAGTATGGACAAACTACACAGCTACCTACACACACACACAACTACATACTTACATACCCCCTGCACAAACATACACGGTTATGGCAAACATATCGGGTTTTTGCGCATTCTTGATCACGCATTGTTATGTCAAAATGACTATGCCTGTAAAGGCGTGCCTCGCCTTGTCGAGAATAAAAGCTTTATTTATTTATTTAGTATCAGGTACACAACCGGACAGGCCTCATTGTGACGCATCTCCTTCAATTGTGAGTGCGTTGAGATTTCGTCAGTCACTGACTGAAGCGAACTCAGGTACGAAGACGATGTTTTACAATGTAGTCTCTCTGTATATTGACTGTCGTTGGCGTTTTCTGGATCTGCATAGCAATGCGACTGTGAATAGTCGTAAATGCCTACACTCACGCAGAGGTATTAGACAGTATGCAATTTGTCGCTTAGATCCTTCAAATCCGGTGTAATCTCAAGAGTACAAGGCCGTGAGATATGTGAATGAGAGCCACAATCATTATGAAGCCATACTACATCGATTTTTTATATCACTAATGAGCAAGTGGCTTCGCAATTATGATGCAGATCCGAAATCTATTGATGCAACATGCACAACGAAGTCAGCGACCGACGCGGATCTATGTTTGCTGGCCACTCTATCACGCAAAATTGGAGGAAACGTGCGTATTAAGTGTACGCAGGGTAGTGACAGAACTGTAAAGCGATCATTAGTGAAGCTACTACCTGAGCCTACCTTGGTCGTTCAACAGAGCATCAAGAATGCGACGAAAAACATTCAATCTTTCAGGCACATTACGGCTGACTCAATGTGCTGTGAGCAATGCCAGACCGGCGCCAACATCTAGCTCCTTGGTGTTTGCCAATGACGTCAAGATTTGGCGCAAGGTTCAGGGGAATACTGACCAGAAACTGCTTCAGAGTGATCTAGACACGACATATCAGTAGTCCAGCCAAAATTCACTGCAATTCAATGTGAGTAAATGCAACGTGCTCTCCATACGACGCCAGAGCAATCACTGTTACAGGCTCGGAACGCATGTGCTGCAGCGAACTGCCACGAAACGTGATTCGGGCATACTGGTTCAGGATGATCTGGGTTGTTCCAGACAATCTGCGAAAACCTCTAAAGCTGGTAACGAACATATGGCCTGTTACGACGGGCGTTCGGATAAATAGATTACTCTATTCTCCGGCAGATGCTTAGTGCGTATGTTCGTCCTCATGTCGAATATGCAATTTAAGCCTGGCCCCCATGGCTAGAACACACACGACCTTAGTGTATTGGAGCAGCCCCAACGTCGATCACCGAAGTATGTTATTGGAATGCACCATCTTCTTTACGGGGATAGACTGGAACGATTGGGGGTATTCAGCGGATGTTAACGTCGCTTACGAGGTGACTTGATAATGGTGCACTGAATTCTGCACGATCCACATCATGTGTGCCGCTGTTTACTGCAACTCAGCAGTGATACCAAATTGAGACGTCACTCACTAAAAGTAGCAGAACAGTACAGCCGCCTGGATTGCCACAGGAATTCCTTTTCTTTCCGCGTGTGTCACCCGTGGAATGCACTTCCAGAATTGGTCATTTCTGCAGCATCACTATCCATAGTTAAAAGACGTTTGGATAGCTCACTTACTCACCTACACTTTGTTACCTAGTACTACATCTCCATCCCACTCCTGAAACATACTTTGGATTTATTTGCTCTTACATATTTGTACTGTGAAACTATACAGATCGCAGAACTACAGCGAAACAAATGATAAGCCCCTCTTTTAAAGGTAAATAACCCACTGCGTTTTTATTTTTCGATAACCCTGCAAAACCACCCAACGGGGCATGTAAAGCATTGCTTCCTAACCCGTATAAATTCATTGTTCATCGCGGGAAATCTAAAGTGCCAACAAAACTTCAACAGACCGCCATATCGCACCTTCTTGACAGTATACTGTACAACTGAAATTCTGCTGTGGCTGCCATACGAACAGCTTAACCACCGAACTGCTCAATTCGGTAGGTTTACCTGCCAAACTGAGTAGCTCTATGGTCGAGTCATTCAGTAGCTGACCGCGTAGCTGCAAACAAACATATACTTTGCCAGTTTGAACACGGACGAAACCCACCGCCCAGTACCATGCTGAGGTTAGGAAACGATGACATGTGTTCCCACTTGGAATGTTGTTTTGGGGATGGAGGTGACCCAGACGCTTCTGGACCCACGTCAGAATCGCGCATCGTAGTTCGTACATAAAACGGGCACTCACCGACAGTATGCTATACAACAGATGAAGAGCTAATCATTTGCACTTGAGACCATTAAAATCCATCACTACCATGTCCATACTCAGGCAGCTGCGATTGTCTGTTCAGTCTCAGGATCACTGACAGGTCTTCAATCTTGTTACTTTCGATAAAGTGTCTCAGCTGCCTTCCGTGTGTCTGACAAATCATGGGGGCATAATCACTAGTCGACTGGCTGATTTATAGCCACAGCTGAATACAAAAAGGATATAACCAGCTTGCCGGTTTAGGAAGAGCGGTGCCGGCATCCGCGCTCTAACCCATTCTTACCTAGACCCAGTGACTCTTACCACTAACCTTAAAAGTGATCCAGAGACGTGACATAGTGTGTGACCATGCTGAGGTCCCGCTGCTGGGTGATACGGCGCATCCGTCGCCGTGGGCTGTTGAGATCCGTGTGCAAATGTCGGCCGACCAAAATGTCAAGGCAGACGAGTACAAGCATGAATTGTGACTCGGTGGGGGGGTATGCGGACGGTGCAGTGTGCGACGCTCATTGTACGGTGTGTTCTCTATATCTGGATCTATCCCCACAATTCATCCACAACTAGTACCTTACAACCACGCATTTGCGCATCTATAGGGAACATCGGCATCTTTAACACTTGTCCGGCTATCCAATCGGCATGCTAGCAAAGAGTGGAGCAAAATCCATAGCTTCGCACGCGATTGTGTGTCCCCAAATGCAGGCGCAGGTATGCGAGCATTTTCTGTCCAACATAAATTGCCGATTGGATAGCCGGACAAGCGTTACAGATGCTGGTGTTTCCTATATGCGCGCAAGTGCGTTGTTGAAAGGCACACTAGTCATGGCTGAATTGCGGGGATAGATCTAAACCTATCGGACACACTGTAGATCGCCTTTTCCAGGTGTGTCAACTAATCAAAAATGCCGTTTTGCTTGGTCAGTGGGTGTGCCGACCGGAAGAGGACTATGTGACTTGCACTGAGATGATCCGTTTGAGGGGACATTCAAAGATTGCTCGCCTGGACAGGAAGCGTCTCTATGTCACACATCCGATTACTCACATCATAATCCACGAGCAGGAGCCACATACTGGTCGACCTTGTCGTGTATTTCACCCCGAGGGATGCTTCACAGGAAACCTTGTCCGTTTCGAAGTTGTTATAACGTAGCCTGGCTTCTGTGGTGGAACTGGTACTGGCAAATCTGACAACCCCCTAAGTGATTGCAGTTTTCTAGTTAAGCTATCGCATTTTTTACTGTCACACCTGAAGTTTCAACGCCACTTGCGAACATCTATTATCTTTCACTGAAAATGACCGATAGTTTCCTTATCCCTTTTGGTTACACAGGTTGGAGACCTTGTATACCTCCACGAGGCAATCGATGCGAATTGGTATCGGGGAGAGAACGCAGCGACAGGTGACAAAGGCATGTTTCCAGCTCCGTTTGTTCGTGTATTATATCCACTGTAGCTGACGTACCCGGGCGACGAATGGACTCCCATCTCTCGTCAGTGTCCTCTTTTGAAACCCCTCTGTGATGAACACGGAGGACAAGTGCCGATTAAAGTGTGGCTCATTGACGTTTTATCAGATATTTTGTTACATATGCATTTTTTGTGGAAATCGGAAGTGATCTAGTACGTTGCTTCTATTCGCTTACAAAATTTACTTTTCGAAGTGGCCAGCAATCCGGATCAAGAGTACATTACAACAAACGGCACGAACAAATGATTTTCATGAGTTTGCAAGCAATCAGCTGGTGCATTTGTTGAGCATCGGTTCACCCTTGACACAAAGCTTCGTCAGACCCACGGGGACCTTTTGTAGTGACAGGCTTTCTATGAGTCCCGAGCATACTCCAACACATACTGCAACACTTTCATGCGGTACCGTACAACTCAGTTTGAAGCGCCAGACGACAATGGTACACCACCGAGTAATGCGTAATATTAGCGCAACTGCAGACAATTGCATTCGGAAAGTCAAAACCATGGCCCAATCGGTCTGGCGATGTGTAGTGATGAGAAAGACCAAAGTCGCAAATGCCATGCCTCACCACTATGTTTTTCATCGCTCTTTGCTCATTGTTCTTCATTGCTTGTGGTCACAGACTCTTGTAAGATTGAGACTACGATTCCACTGGCTCTTGTGTATAATCGTTAGACTCGGCTGGAGTTTGGTTGTCATGACCGTCATTACATGTGGGCACTCACGGGCGTAGACTGGCGACGCTGTGTTAGTATCAGGCCTACCCGCGCTTATGAGCTTTCAAATGAGAAACTGCTGACCAATGAAATCGTCTGCTTTGTTTCACATACTTCGATGGTCTAGGCTTATGCCCAGTCTAAGTGCTCTACTTTGGATATCACCACTGATTGCTCTAAGCGATCTAATTCATCCTCAACCAACTTAATAGATTCATATGGCACTGGTCTTTTGGGTCTGAACACAGACTTTGCAGCATCCTTTAAACAAAGAGATGCAGTGAATTTGGTGCAACAGTTAAATGTGGGGTTGAACAGCTCTGAGAATTGCTTCTGCATACCGTCGACGATTGCGAAAGTCTGCGCTGCGTAGCACTGTGATGAGGTGTCCGGACCTGGTAGACTTTCCTCGGTTGGATCGCACGCAGATTCAAAAGGAATACTCCAAAAGTTCAACGTGATAATCCAATCGATCCCGAATTGTTCTAAACGTGACAGACGCAAGTTCGCTTATCGTTTTTGCAAACACATTCACAGAAATATTTTCCATATAGACGTAGGATTATGTTCGATGCACTCCTTGCGGTAGTTTCCGAATTGCGTAGTATCGGACTACTAATAACCGACCATGTCGAGCTGATGGTAATGTCAGATGCGGTATCCAGCTGTAGGCGCACTGTGACCATTAATAGTGACGGTGATAAACTTACCAAATGAAAGAATTCCTTCCTGTGCAGTTGCATAAACCACATTAGACCCCCATTTGATTTCGAGTTGCTGAGACGGTTTTAACTGGTCCCCACAATAAGGACGTCGAGTGAGTGAGTCAATCTGCAACACCAGGACAGATACTGTGAGCTTATTGGCAATACGTCACGAACTAAGCAGAAGTCATGTACTAAATTGCGCACCTGATCCTTAGTAGTTCAGTACTAGAGCAACGGACCGGTAATCCGTTCGTCCGGAGTTCGATTCCCCGGCGAGGCAGATTATTGTGCCAAGTTTAATCGTGGCTTCTACTTTCTAGGAAGACCTTCATCTCTGCCGAAAGGTGGAGGTGAGACATTGTTGACTGAACTTAACACTCTTTTCAGCACAATTTGGGACACCGAAGAGATGTCCTCAAACTTCCGACTGCCAACTGTCGTGCCCTTCTTTAAGAAGAGTCAGCATACTTTGGGCGAATATCATCGAGGCATTAACCTTGTTTCCATTGCCTTCTATCTTCGACGATCTATTTGTTCTAGTGAGATCTGAATCATTGAGACAGGCTGGCTTCTGCCCTGGTCATGGTTGCATCGACAATATACTTACTCTCCGTCAAGTGTTGGAGCAGACACTTACGTACAACCGACTATGGTGGATTTCCTTGACTTGAAGCTTTTTTCGACTCTGTCGACCGGACCGGCTTGTGGCAACACCTATAACTGATGCGAGTCCATGGGAAACTTCTTGACATGCTGAATTCTCTCTACCGTGACTCCCGAGGCCGTGTAAGAGTCTACAGAAAGCTGCCTCCTGAGTTCCACATGACAAGTAGGATTCGCCAGGGTTGTCTTTTATCCTCTTTCCTCCTCAATTTTGTGATCGAAATGATTATAAAGGACTCGATTCTTTCAGACCCCGCCGAAGTGAATGTTCTGCCAGGTGACCGAGTGACAAACTTTGAGTATGCGGACGATATGGCCTAAGTTCTCATGCAGTGGCTATGCAAGCATTACTGCACAGATTGACGCGTAGCGCTGCACGCTGCGGCATGTGTTTTGCATCTTCAAAGTGCAAACTACTGCTGCATAACTGGACTGATACGCCACCACCGGTTCAAGCCATCAGCGAACAGCCACTGAAAGTGATGGACCTCTGGTGGTCACATCATTGAGGAAGTTATTTCGCATATCAGCAAGGCCCGTGGGGCACTTCAGAGGCTCAGCCACCTATGAAGACGGCGAGGTATCAGGTTGTCAGTGAAAGGTAGGGTGCATAACACTGTGATAAGGCCGATGTTACTGTATGAATTAGACCTGGTCAATTCATAGCGATATTAAAGGCTTGGCAGTGTGTGACCACCTGTGCTTGCGAAGTATTGCTCCCACCTGATGAGTACAACGGGTAACAGGGCTGAGGTCTGCCGGTTGGTTTTAGCATGAAACCTTGTGTTCCAGTAGTGTTTGGTTAAGCTCAACCGCTTAGGTTGGCTAGGTCATGTCCTCCGTATGCCTGTTGACTGGATTCCTCGGCGTGCAGCATACGCTACGGCTGCATCAAAATGGACGAAACCGCGAGGTGGCCAATCGATGACGTGACACGGTGCCATGAAGAAATTGACTGGTGCTCGTCATCTTCGTACTTCACTTCTGGATTTGTTTTCGTTTTACCTGGAAATTCTACAAGTTGCTCAGTTCCCAAGCGAGCCCGTCGCTTACAACGGACTCCGGCATGGTCTATGCCAGTGGTTAGAGATTCTAACAGACATGGTGTAGTTGCTGGCGTTCCTGCATTCGGTTTCTTACATCTAGCTGTTAATTTCCATTCTCTGCCGATTAGTTTACCGCACTTCTTGTTCTAATTTGGTTTGCATGCAACCTCAGTTATCGTTTTCATTTATTGTTATTGTGGAGATGCGATTAGTGGCTACTAGATCCACCGCATTACGGTGCCCGGATCATAGTTGTTCACCTGAACTGATTAAGAGGTTGATAAGGTAAATATAAAGTGCATGAAGGGGGCAGGTACGAAAGAAAGAGAGGAGGAAGGTGGGAAGAAAGACGATAAGTAGTTGAGGGATAAGACTTCTATCAAACTTTCATTAGGGTGGTCGAAGTCGGTACCTGCGACCGCGGGTGCAACAGGAAGTATGAAGAGCCGTCCTCGAACCAAGCCAGGATGGTGATTTACTCAGTCGGAATCGACGGACCCTAGGCTGAACAACACACTCCCCTAGCAGTGACAAGAGAAAAGGCTGTCATGCAAGAAAATGGGGGGGGGGTAAGAAACAGCTATGAGAATAGGCAGCACTACAGCTGAACAAATTTAAGGGTTAGCTGTTGAATGATCACTGTTGGGGCTATCAAAAGCGTGCTAAGGAATGGCGGGAAAACTGCACACCGAAATGTCCAACATGTTGTATCGTCCGCGAGTTGCTTCTGTCCACTCTGATAGTGAGAACGAGGCGAGCAAGAACAGGAGTATATCTGATTCAAAAGATAGTAGTTTTTATGCGGAATCAAAGTGACAAGCGATATGACACAAATCGATGGAATTCGAGTGTTTTCAGACCCCCAGCAGAGCAGATGAGAATCAACTGACCCGATCCTCAACAGAACATTTGTGGTTCGTACTCTAGTCCCATAGAGGAGATGCGCTTGTGTCTAGATAAGTCGCATCAATGAGTGTTTCCGGTCTACCTCTTTTGCGCTATCCAACACAAGTAAAGACGACAATGTCGACAAGCGTAGAATTTGGGGCGCCAATACGTTAAGACAAATGTCTCAATGGTCTACATACCTAGTAAGTTAGAAAATGTTGAGGGAGAAAGAGGTAGCTGAGGTCAATCGAACTCGGAGACTGATGTCACTAGCCCTACTCAACCTATGGTAAACCCTGTCGGTCGCATCGGAGCGAACAGCGCTTTGTCGAACATGAAGATTGGGAACCGAAAAGTCGTTCAATAGTGTACGTCCTACCCGATGGGCTCTTGATCGAAGCTAAGAAGGCAGTCTGAAGTTAGTAACAGTTTATGCGTGCAAACAAGGAATGTGACCTTGAGCCACCGAATGAATGGGCGCAAGGTAGATGATACATGTGTACCTCATGCTATGTCGGCATCTTGAAAGAACCTGATATAGGCGAAGGATGGATGACAGAGAATAACAAGTGATAAATAACACAGTGACCAATGTTGTTGGCTGAGGAGACGAGCGGCATGCTCGTGGAAAGATGTAGTGCACAAGGAATACTGGGCACCAAAAAGGGCCAAAGGAATGGTGTTCAAGTGGAAACGGGACGAGGGGGATTCGCGAACGGAACGCGAAGCAACCGGTGAGAGAACAACATTGATAGACGGAGAGATGAAAGACAAGCCGATTAAGAGTCCGGTACAGTGAATCATTCCAAAAGTAACGGGCCAGTTGGATGAGGATAAAAAAAGAGGTCTCGTGAGAGAGAGGATAATGGTTTTAACAGGGTTTAAGAATGCAATGCAGACGGGAGAATGTCACGCGTAGTACAGGTGGGCTAAGAACCGGTGGGTGGCACGGCAATAAGGTAGAAAAAGTGAGTAAAAGAGGAGGCTATGAAAAGCAGTTTGTACAAAGGAAGGTAGGGTGGCGGATGAAAAAGTCGATGTGTTCCGCAGAGGGAAACGGTAATTGTCGCCGTGGAATAGTGGTTAAACCAACGCATAGGGAATGGAAAAGTATCATAAAGAGCAAACTCCGGAGAGTAGAAGCGAAGTGGAAATTTCAATTGCGCCGTGGTTCAGAGGCTTGCGCGTATTCAAGTTACCTCCATAGGACACGATGAGAGAGAGAGAGAGAAGAAGAAAACTAAAGAGTAGTAACGGCGGAACATTAAGACGACCAGCGCGAGATAACGACAACCTACGAGTATGAGGACCGAGGCAGATGTAGGATAAATGCATAATTGGAGTACATGAAGTGAAGGGAATGGTGGCGTTGTGACAAAGATAACCAATTTTTCGTTTAACCCGTGCACATATTGGGGGGAACCCTGATGCACTGCCGGATAGGGATAGATATCTGTGCGAATAGGAGAACTGGGATGGCGCTAAAATCTTCACAACCAATTCCGGTAGGCCATTTGTGGTAGTATCCCTCCGCAACGGCTCAGCGACGTCTGAAAAGGGGAGGCACATCAGAACACGTTGGTCATGGGATCGCGCGGATGTCAGTGCGTTCAGGGATTTGAGGGGGACTGACCGCGGTGGCAACTCGTCTAGCAGATGTGAGAAGTCGCGAGGGAAGAGAGGCACGAGCAGGCAGGGACGGAATTGTGGGTGGCGGTGGGTGCAAAGACAGACAGGGATGGGAGAGAGGGGGCATGCAAGGCGACATTTAGCCATGACAATCCATTGGATGCGTGCGGCAGTGAGCACAATGACAACGATGAGTGTAGAGGCCAGCAACGACACACACACAGACAGATGAAAACACATGGAAAGCCGATGACACTTGTGGTGAGTTCGGTGGCTCAAAGACGGAATTTTTGTAAGAGCATGGATTAAGAGTCGGATAAACATGAAACACACACAAAACAGTTATCGATCCATTCTATCTTGCGATGCCATAAGCCAAGTGGAGAGAAGTTACAGCCGAAGATGAGCTGTACAACAGCACAGCCTATTCAGGATGATCCCACCGCGTTTGTTGCATGGGCTCTCGTGCTGTCCAGAAATGTGCCGTACCCAAAAAGTACAGGATGACCGTTTCATACTTTTGGGAACCGTTAGCAGTGCGCATTCTATCTAAAGGGCTAGAATGTGCAGTGACGACGATTCTCGAAAGCATGAAACGCCTGTCCAGCGCGGTTCCGGACATGTGGCGTACAACTGACTGGGTCCAGTGAAGATGAATTTCATGTGAAGAGGAAATCGCGAGCCCGGACTCCGCAACTATGCAGCCTCAGCTTAGAAAGACGAGACTTTGATCAACAAATACCCTTACGACCGGAAACAGGATGCACAGGACAGAATGGTCGTAGCAATGGGTGGTTGATGAATACTGGCTTTGCTGCACCCATCATGGAAACGGAGCTAGTTGAATGGACTTATGAAAGTTGTATTCACAAGCATCAATATGGCGGTTGAACTGTTCGCTGAATTTGGCAATTTTGTTGCAAACGCTTCGTCACCAATCGAGGTGACATCATCAGTGCGTAGTTGAGTGGCGTGCAGTAGCGTAGAGGAGCCTCGGTGAGAGTACGCTGAGCGTGGTGTGTGTGCGTTTTTAAACCGAGCAATTGCTCGTCTCTACGGGCAAACACGGCGGTATAAAAACGCACGCACCCCACGCTCAGCGCACTCTCACCGAGGCTCCTCTACGCTACTGCACGCCACTCGACTACGCACTGATGATGTCACTTCGGTTGGTGACGAAACGTTTGCACCAAAATTGCTAAGTTCAGCGAACAGTTCAACCGCCATCTGAACAACCTGAGCTACCCGTCTTCAATTCTATAGCCAAGCATCAATATAATATAAGTAGTCAGATAAGTGAACCTCAAACCCGTAGATACGCGGATTCACCGCTAATTTTTACCGCTTGCTTCATAAGAGATCACAGATTAAACACAATGCATAACTGTAAACCAGTTCGTAAAATACCGTTGGCTCAGTTCGCACCAAGGAGTAGAGGACTCATGAAAGAAAGGCATCATCAGTACGTGGATACTGCGTACCGACGCTTCGCTGCTGCGCAACCACCACCAGCCGCGTGTGGGCTAGGGGTACTGCGAAGGTCGTCCGGTCCCCTACGCAAGCTCGAACCCGCCCCCTCGGATTACAAGGTAGGCTTGTGATCGTTAAGACTACGGACCGGCCATGAAAAAAAGGCATAAACAGTACCCAGCTAAGCGACCACTATCAGTTGCGCTTGGGCTAGGAAGGATACTTCGAGGGTCGCCCGCATTTGCATAGACTTGAATCGGTGACCTTCGGGTCACAAGACAGACGCTCGGATCACTTTGACTACCGGCCGACACACGCACACACACATGCGTCGGTGGTTAGAAGAAGCCGATCCTTTTGTGCAGTTACCTAATCTTGATGTTGCTTTGTATACCTAAATCATGTCTCAGCATAGTTCTGGAAGTTGGTGAAGTGTGGGACGTAAACGCTAATCTCAAGTTCAATGGCAACAAATTTGAGGGCCTTAGGTGAAGATGGGGGTAAGGTGACAACTAAGTACTGATGGATGGTCCCAACAGCTCACCAAACAGCACAGCTAGGTTGGGGAGTGGCGAGTACCATTGGAGCTCAACCAGTCGGCAACGACAGCGGTTGTGTCAAGCATGTGCAGTGCGAGAAGACAATACAAGCAAGCAAGGGAGTGAGTGAGAAATGTTCAAGCGCCAGCAGCAAGCATGCGGCCAAGTGCCCGAGGAGTGGCGTGCATCAATCAACGCCGACCCATGTTCGCAAACACAGAATTAAGGCAACTTACGCGGGTAACGCAGGAGGAATAAGTGCATAGGGTGAGGCGAAGGTGAACGAGGACGGATGGTTTAAAGGCTGCGTCTTGGTCGAGATGACGTCTGGTATTAGGCGTCTGGGTGGGGCAACGGAAGCGTAGAGCGAGGGAAAATAGGGGGAGCACAACATAAAGCAGTAACGTCAGACAACATGGGGAAAGGGAATGGGATACAACGTGAATATATAGAATTGGATGATATGTGAGAAGTAATGGCACAGTAGTACAAAGGATGGGCGTTAAGACCAACACATGAGAGGGTGATATAGACCCGAAGTGGTGTTCACGTGGGTACAATCATAAATGCAGAATGGATGATGCACACGCCTAGGCGCTAAGTGTGATGTTCGGGCAGAATCGAATAAAAAAATAGTAACGCATAAAGCTGGTGAAGTAAGATCACATTTCATCCACGCTTGTGATTCTATTCTCATGTCGGGCGCAATAGAACCGAAATATCGGTGTGCTACCAAAACCCCAGACAGGGAGCAGACTCGTACCCGTTCCCACGGAATCGACATCTTGGCACCATCCTCTTCCGATCGGGCAAGTGAGGACCGAAACGTGGTCCGTGGAAGTATCATCCTCTCGTAGTGTACGTTGCATAACAACCGAAGGGAATAGACCACAGGAAGATGGTACATTTTTCCTAAACTAGTGACTGTGAGCCAAGCACCATTAACAATAGGGTGGCAAGCTAGCATGTACAGACTCTCCAGTCCATAGGAATGAGATCAATAGAACGTTGCACGATAAACCGCGTAGAAGAGCAATATCCGATAGCAAGAATGAAGTTGAGGGCCTACTGGTGATAAAGATAAGTTGAAAATGACCGTTCACGAGTGGCCACTGAACCAGTTTTACGTAGAACTGTCAATGATAACTCTGTTGATGGCCTAATCGCATCAATAGAAGTACAGATGATGAGTAACAGATCCAACTACGAAGAGGACAGTATTAGTTCGCTTATGACAATAAACGTACGTAGCCCTGAAACAAGTGGGAGCTGAAATGGCATACGATTCGTCGGTCACCTGAGTCGAGAATTGCGGAAAACAGAAACCGCGATTTGGTGTATTTTGGTGAACGCATGCGGTCTTTAGGACTGAGCAAGAGACCAGGAGTAATGGATCGAGGGATCACACAGAGAGTAAAAGTATGGGAAACTATATTGCCTAGAGCATTTGGTCAGATCTTAACATACCCTGGGGTCGGAAGGCTGTGCAACACGAGTTGATAAAGCAGAATGCTTAGGCTCAGGAGGTGATGACATCAGTTACATGGGTATAAAAAGCACACAACATTAGGAATGTGTGATATGAAATCAGGAAGGGGAAAATAAAAAGGGCAAAGCACACGCTGATTAGATGCAGTCTTACTGCGGAATCAATGGCGGAGGAAGCTGCGTATTGGACTGGGATCCTGGTGTCCGCCCGGATGGTGCAGAGCGAGAGACGGCCGATGGTGCGAGAACCTTCCCTCCCGTGATTCCGCCTGGAGGAGGCGGAGGAGGTCGACGATTTCCGCTAGGACTGGGAGGTGGCGGGCCACTAAATCCACCTGATGGTGTCAAAGCTCCATCAGCCTAAGTAAACAGAGATACGCACAGTTTCCAAATGGTACAGGCACAGACCAATGTAACAGGTAAATACACCCATTAGGGTAACAGTAACGGAATCTGGAAGCGCCGGAAGCGTGTTGTGGCGTGAAGAGAAAGGAACATGGGCCAGTTTATCATGCGTGTTCCGGATGGTACGCATAGATTGTAGAAATAGAGCAAAACTTACTAATAACCAATCGTCGTTGACGGGTGGTGGTAGTGGAGTCGAAACTGTGGACATAGATACCTCTCCGATAATGCTCAGCGCTTCTTTCATCGCATCGTAGACCCGAACCATTTCCTCCCGCTTCTGTTGCACACCGTGTGATTCTATCATCAGAGTGTTCTAAAAGAAAAAAAAAACAAAGATGCCAGTGACGGTCAATCAGGGTGTGAGCCTGAATGTTGGTTCAACACCACATTCTAGTAAGCGACCAGAAACGGATTCAGTAGCCCACGAACACAGTTAACAACAAATTTGGTACTGAGAAGGGGCATAGGGAAATGAGAACGAGTAGATGGGAGCCAAAATAATGCAGTTAGAATGTGTAGTAACAGTCATCTACTTCGGAACATAGGGCTCTGCAGACTTACCAAATCCCCCGCTTGGTACAGATTGGGCAGTAATTCACCTTTCAGGAATTTCTTAATCTACAGAGTAAAGCAGAATAACATGAAACGAATTACAACCAGAAGGAGATGCGCACAATACCAACAAAAACATGATGATGGTAGTGTTCGAATTCGAAACTAAGAATGAAGATTGGAGACTAAGCATGTTCAAGGGCCAACATGAGCTCTCATGATGTAGAACGCTGGACATCGAGCGAACCATATCGCCAGGGTCTCAAAAATTGGCCGAATTAGAATAGCAAAGGAATTATTAGTTGGATAGGTTGCAGTATACATCGTACCAATGTGTGGTGGTGACGCAGGTTTTAAGCAAATTGCGGCAGAAAAGCATGCTATCGTGACATAAATATACTGTGACAAAGGACATCGTCATGATAGTCGTTTGGTTCAAGAGAGGAAGGGTTGGTCGCATCCTAAGCAGAAACCACAACAAATTTAATATGTCCGATTACATCACTGTAGACATCAACAGTTTATTTAACAGAATAGAGTCACAACTAAGCGATTGAATAAGGCGGCATTTCACACAATAAACTGGTGCAACTGCTCGCACTGATGATCTGCGCAGATTGATGAAATGCAGGTGAACATTGACGGGAGTCAGGTGAAAAAAACTCACTTCGTTAACAAGCATGTGCATCAACAGTTTGGGAACGAGATCTCTCTGTGTTTTATGCACTATTCTCATGTATGACTCAACGAGATTGCGGATTATTTCGACCTGTCGCTCAAGCTGCGGATCCGCTGCGTCAAGCGACGTGTCTTGGTTCTGCAATAGAATGAGTTATCAGTTTTAAATCAAACTACTGTAAGTAGCATCATATAAAGCAAAACTGACAACAGGTGTAATAAACATCGTGTACTTACGGGAATGTCATAACTTGAATACTCCTGAGTGAAGAACAGCATTTTAAATAGAAAAGAATCCTGAAAGTCTGAGCAGTAGAGACCCGAGACTTTTTCATGGATGAAGGAGAAACTAGGTCGTTTAGTAGGTGACTCAACTCAGAGTAAACCAGCACCAGTGTAATCACCCAGTATCAGTTAAAAAATGACAGTAAGACAAAAATATTAAGATGCTTGTTTTACACTCTACATTGACGACAAGATCGTGGTTCGAGGGAGAAGTTAAACGGGATGGAGAACGATAAAGAAATAACACAAACACCGTCAGAGGTGACTTCGTCATGTCAACAAGTGCATCCAAACAGAGATGTTCATCGTCTTCTAACCAAACCCGAAGGTCAAGAGGCTCCAACTGACGCCAAGATCGAAGTGACGGCCTTCATTCCTCCTGACTAAGTCATCAGCTGACCTCCTCTGTGCACACCTTGGTCCCGCAAACAACACACGTCACTGGATTCGGTGCGCCGGCATGTGCCACACGTGGCCCAGCCACCGGAGCCTGGTGCGTGATACAATGGTACTGAGCGGTTCACTCGCTCTTCCTGCACCAAATATGCGACGCCGAACACGTTCATTGCTCACATGGTGCTCCCACCAGACATGAACTAAGCAGCGAAGGCACTGGTGACCGAAAGTAAGTGGCATCTTTACAGCTGCCGTTCTAGTGGGTCAGGTTTCACAATCGTACAGGAAGATTGGATGCACGGCTGCATTGTGGACTCTAGCCAACAGGGCGAGAGTGATGTCGCGCCGGCGCCACTGGTGGCGGAGACTGGAAAAACGCCTCGAACTTTTGCTGTACGGTCCGTGATCTCATTTTCCATTCCACATGCGCTGATAAAGCTACTTAGATACTTGATTTTCTCGACGACTTCCAGCTGATCACCGTCAAGAGTCAGTGCAAGGAGCGGTCCTTGCTAATCTTGGAGGAACGTTTAGCATCTTGATAGTGCAAGGCACAGTCCGAAACGTCTGACAGCCAATGCCGATCTGTCCAGTGATGCCTGGCACGTTTGTGAGCTGTCACAGACTAGGGTAATGTCGTCGACGTAATCCAAGCTCATAAGTCGATCACCTGGAAGAAGCTCCATATCGCGTAAGTCGTGCCAAGTGAACACCATTTCAATGACTTCGATGGGAAATTAAAAAGGAAGTGACAGCGGACAACGGCCCATGGAGAATGGCGAGCAGCGACCGATAAGCAAGATGATAACGATGGCTGGTTAAACTGCTTTACAAAATGTCCAGTACCAACTCCCGATTTTGACAAGCTGTCCACTCTCGTCGCATGTATTTTGGCTAACATCAAATTTTCTGCTGCCCGAAATAATTTCCGAGGATTACCAAAGGCTACGGCCGTTTTCATATTCGATGCACGATAAGCACCAAAATTCGCGGTCTCTATTCAGGCTAGTATGCAGTTTTGCCCTGAGGTGTTTGCGAGCTTCGTTGTGTTCGCTTCCAGCCGGAATGTGCCGGCGAGCATCGATGAGTTCCAGATTGCGTAGAAACCCAATGTCCATGTTGGGTATTGGATTCGCCACATGAGGATTTGCCTGCTGCTACTAAGATTTAGTGAACATACGATCAGTGACCTTTAACTGTATTCAGTGAGCACTTAATAAATCCGAATGCCAGCGTATTTTGATAAGTAATCATAGAAGCTGACTTCATCAGTTGGTGGATGTCTATGCGTTGACAGAGTCGTCGTAGATGTCCGCCAAAACGCACCCAGGAGCCGGCACATACTCGTGCATAGTCGGAGTCCACGCTCGTACACCAAATCGAGTAGCAGTTTTGAACAGAGCCTCTCCAAAGGTAATTGATTTGCGTCCATGGTTGGTTTGAGGCTTGTGGACGCCATGTCACCCTCCGGCGAGTACCGCGTCGGAAGTTAGTGCTCACGAGAAATAGACGAGCATCTTCACACAGGTGTAGCATCCGTTCATCGTTAAATTAGGGGA